TACAGCAGGAGCATACAGCAGGAGCATAGAGCTGGAGCATACATATAGCGGGAGCATGCGGCTGGAGCATACATATAGCGGGAGCATACAGCTAGAGCATATATACAGCAGGAGCATACAGCAGGAGCATATAGAGCTGGAGCATACGTATAGCGGGAGCATGCAGCTGGAGCATACATATAGCGGGAGCATACAGCTGGAGCATACATACAGCAGGAGCATACAGCAGGAGCATATAGAGCTGGAGCATACGTATAGCGGGAGCATGCAGCTGGAGCATACATATAGCGGGAGCATACAGCTGGAGCATACATACAGCAGGAGCATACAGCAGGAGCATGCAGCTGGAGCATACATATAGCAGGAGCATACAGCTGGAGACGAGGATGGCTGTGGGGGGTGGGGCAGCCAAACAGCGACCTGTCTGAGCAGGACGGGGTCAGGCACCTGGTGCTGTCACCTTCCATCACGTCCTCAGTCACAGTTCACCGCAGGCCAGCCCGGTGGCCTGTGAGTTGGAAGTTTTGTCTCAAGTCAGACTCCAACAACCAAAGAAAGAGGGCCTGTCTTCTTGGAGATATGTGCTGGTTCAGGAGAGCTGGTCTCGGAGGCTGCCAGTCGTTCCTTCTAACGACCATCTGTTGGAGGTGCTGGTCGTTAAATATGCTTGCCCTCCATGTCATGTCAGCTGCCTTGATCTGGCTCCTCGGCCTGCCCTGTGTTTTCTCCTCCTCGGCTCCGTTTGGAGGGTTACAGGCTCTCTATTCCTGCTGCTGCGACCTCTTTTCCTTACTTGGGTTGCCGTCCCTGAATCTGCATTCGGTATGGTCACTAATGGTGGCATATTTGAGCTACGATGTCCATAAAGCTGCCTGGGGAGATTTTCTGCTTTTATAAGACCTTCATGAATGGTGCCGCAAACGGTGATTTGCTTCCTGGCAGGGCCCTGAGTTTCCTTTCTTTTCTCTCATTCTCTAACCCAAAATGACCTCTGTATCACTGAGCTAATAAAGCCGTGCCCCGTCCAGTGACTACAGCTTGGTAGAAGTAGCCATAGGGGATATCCACCTTCTACCTTCCCCATTTTTATTCGGCGCCTGCACCACTGCTCCTCAGATCCAGGCATGGATTCCCCAAGGCCAGACTGTTGAGCACCAAGAGGGCAAGAGCCCCGAGGCCTCACCTGGCCGGTCCTCAGCCTGTCCCTGATTGTGTCATTTTATGGAATCTGGCCAAGTTGGCTTAGAAGTTCTTTCTCTTTGTTTTAATTTCTCCTACCTTTTCCTAATGCCTGTTTTCCATAAGAGGAATTTAGACATGTGAGCAACCTTACTTCTCTGTCAGGCTCTTAAATATTTTCAGTGTCATAGATTTTATGAAGATGTCTTCATCTGGGCAATAAAGATGCTCATTTTATAATAACTTAATAAAAATAGGTACTCCTAAAATTTTTTAAAGATTTTAGTTTTTCCTGAAAGGCTCTCTAGAATTTTTCATTACAGATGATATGCTTTCTATTTTTTTGCAATAAAAAAGAAAAGCCAGCACTTTTACTCTTGCTGTTAAAATTATCTCCATGTAGGATTGTAAAATTTCACCCCATTTGTTCTCCCAAACTTCCCAAATATGGCAATGTAACAGGATTTGTACAAGATGGTCTTTAAGAAAAAATAGTAATTGGGGGCCTGGGTGGCTCAGTTAGTTAAGCTACTGCCTTCGGCTCAGATCATGATCCCGGGGTCCTGGGATCGAGCCCCGCGTCTGGCTCCCTGCTCACAGGGAGACTGCTTCTCCCTCCGCCTCTACCTGCTACTCCCCCTGCTTGTGCTCTGTCAAATAAATAAATAAATATTCCAAAAAAAAATTAGAAATTGATGTTTGATTCCCACAGCCTCCAAAAGCAAAGCACTCACTGTGAACTAAATCAGGGAACCTTTATGAGGTCACATCTGTTATCTTGCTTGGAAAACAAAGTGCTACCTGGGCTCCTTCAAACAGCTTCTCTGATGTTTTAAAATTCAATTTCATCTTTTTGGCAACACGAGATTCCTCCTTTGTCAACTCTCAGACCCTGGGGAAATTCTTTGGTTTGGCAGAAGGTGGTGCAGGAGGTGACCAGAGGGCATTTGTCTGAGGGGTGGAGGTCTGGGCGCCCCACTGGAAATAGCCTCCAATTCGCAGACAATGCTGCCGCCTGCTGACAAAACACAAGGCGTGCAGACTTTGTGGAAAAATAAATTTCATCTTTCCACTTTCCATCTTCCACATTGGAAAACAAATTTCCATTCGTTTGCATTAACCATACTTTCTTTTTCTGTCTTATAGTGGATCTTAAAAATCATCTTAGCAAGCTTGCGGGAAAGAAAAACACAAGGTTGGACTCCCAGCTAGACCTGATTCATAGCTGCATCACAGTGGGGAGGGTCGATCTTTTATGAGTGGGAAAGGTTTGTTGTTTTTGGTTTTTGTGGGGTGGGGATGGAAAAGGTCAAGGAACAGTCTAGAAGAAGTCAAAATTGATTTTCCACCCCTGCTTTTCAGTAAAGTGTAGTGCTCGACTTCTGTCTCCTAACTTGCATATACACATTTTTATTTCTTTTAAGTTTTATTTAACTAATCCCTACACCCAGTATGGGGCGTGAACTCACGACCCTGAGATCAAAAGTTGCATGCTTTACCAACTGAGCCAGCCAGGCACCCCTACACAATTTTCTTTTCTTTTTTTTTTTTTTTAAGATTTTATTTATTTATTTATTGGAGAGCGAGCGAGAGAGAAACAGCATGAGAGAGGAGAGGGTCAGAGGGAGAAGCAGGCTCCCTGCTGAGCCGGGAGCCCGATGTGGGACTCGATCCCAGGACCCTGGGATCATGATCTGAGCCGAAGGCAGTCGCTTAACCAACTGAGCCACCCAGGCACCCCACAATTTTATTTCTAAAGTAAGCAGCAGTGAGGCTCTTTGCTGCTAAATCACTGTGTGGTGCTTACTCCAGTGAATTTCTGCAGCTCCTGTTGTGATTCCACTGAAATTTAGACCCTTGTGTGTGGGGAAAAGATAGGGCAGCTGTCTTCCTTTGGACCACACTGTTCTGTCGCCAGTTGACTCTGAGCACAATGGCAGAGCATCTGGCTCAAGTGCACAGACGTCAGCGGGGGTGGGAAGAGTCAGTCGTCTATTTATTCCAGACTCAGAGAATGTGGAGACCTTCCCTGCTTCCTCCAATGGCAAGCTGTGAGCCCGATAAAGCTTGGGAGAACCCAGAACCTGTCCATACCCTCTTTACAGATTCCTCAAACTTAGTAAATTGTGTGCATTTGAAATGATGTGGAAGAGCTAGAAATTGTCACTTTGTCATTTCCGTATTGTTTGCTTAGGAAACACCTACTTGTCTTTTTTTTTTTTTTTTTGTTCATGGCTATGAGCTTTTGAGCTATGAAGCTAAGGTTTAAAACACTGAAGTAAAAATGGAAGGTAAAATTCGTTGTCTTCCATCTGAGAACATTAAGAATTTGAGGGCTTAACTGTTGCAATTCCTCCCTTATTTTATCCATCTGTCCAATTTTAGCCTCGGTGATTTTACTAAAGATTCTAGGAGTATTATGACTCATTTTTACGGTTTCTTCCTATTTAGAGACCATTTCTCAAAAGCAATGGTAGCAGGTAGCTTATTCCTACACAAATGTGTACATAAAATTGACAGTTTAGGGTAAGGATTTCCTAAGGAGAAATATTATTATGGGTGTTTGTAAATATTTTCATATTCTTTTCAGATGAGGAAAACAGTTCTTTCCAAACCATGTTGAGTTATCCCGTGCTATTTATAAAAAGCTAATCTGGTCTCAAAGAACGATTTTCCCACAGTCCAATTCCAGTGACTTGAATCCATGATAGGAGTAGTAATTATTGAACAGACAGCTGTCTGCAGGGCCCCATCCTTCTGGAGTGTGGATTACATAAACTGAGGAGTAATAAACATTAACAGCCTGCCTGATATTAACAAATTAGACCCTTGTACTCTTTCTGGACAAGAGGGATTTGTAACTAAAACATCTGTTCAGTCAAGCCTTTTTACCTTTGAATGGAGAAGAGTAGCTGGTGATCCTGCAACTCAGTTCTACTTTATGAGGATTGGGTGACAGATATTTGCAGTGCGCTAAACATGCTTAAGTCCTTAGCTTCAAGACTACTGCAAGAACAGACTTAACAGCATTCGTACTTTGCATCACTACTTGTGACAAAGCAGTGCTTGGGAAACTGGCTCAAGTCCTCTGAGGACAACAGGTGACAGGTTTGACACAGCTAGCTACTTCAGTACCCTATAGCCCATTTACCAAATTGCTTCTTGAATAACCCTATACATAACGCTTGCAAAACATATCTAAATTTGCATAATGTAATGCATATTAAGTAGTAGTAACTTTCAGCACTTGGGTTTGTTTTGTTTTGTTTTGTTTGTGGGTTTTTTTTGCTCCCAGTGAAAATAGGCTCTGGTTTAGCACCTTTCTAAAGCCAAGGGGTCAGGGTGGTGTTTTGCAGGGTCTCGGGGAAAGATCAAGAGCTACCTGTGTGTTTATCCTCCTCTGATGTGGTCCTTAAAGTCTGAAGCAGTCCTTATTCTGATATGCGCGCCTCACCTCACGGAGGCAAAACCTTTCCAGCCTTGTCAAGCCTTTTTCCCCACTTATAAAATTAAATGTACAATATCAACCGGATTTGTGAAAACATTTTGAGACAGAAATTGAACACTACGTCGTGACTCAATTCTTCCAGTAGATTGCGTTCACATCCCTAACACAGTCTGCAGAAGGACCTCATTCTTCTCTTTGTAACAGACACTATTTTCCACCATCACAAATAAAAGCGATCTTACAAGGATATGTGGCATTTGTCCTTTAAACAATTAAAGTCGAAGAGGAATGAGAAAATAAAAACATTGTCTTCTTTTTTTTTTTTTAAGAAAATGACGTGCCCTTTTCTGGATTAACAAACAGCAAGCAGAAGAATTCCACTTCTATTTTGTTTTATTTGCGGGGCTGCTTAGGATAGCCCGCTAGGGCTGCACAGTTAAGATCTCAAGCTTACTTTCTCTGGCACCTTAACTGGAAGACTTGACTTTACATGGTACCGAATGTTCTGGGTTGGTACAGGCAACTCCACCCGGCAAAGTCAGAGCAATCCCTGGAAAAGAGAAAAAGACTGGAACTGATCATTTGTGGACATTTAAGTGTACTCATTGTCTAGAAATGATTCACTTTCTCTCCAAGCCCTGAGAGTACATACTTTTATGCTAGCTGTGCACTTACCTTTGCTAAGTTCTCAATTATTAATAGTTGGCAGTGATCCAAATATGAACGTCTTATCTGTTTGATACCATTCACTTGGCAAAATATTTTAACTTGCTACATCACGTTTGAACAAAAACGAGAGATGTGGCCTAAGCATAGGCCTGCGTCTGAACATAGCTATCCAGGTGTCGGATCCTGTGCTCTTCAGTAGTTCATCAGAAAGCCTCACCCCGGCCTCCCCAGTGGTTCCGAGGGGCACGAAATTTAGGTCTTGCCCTCTACGAAATGGATAGAATGACCTGAAAAGGGAGTGAGGTGAGCTGCAGGGAAGACAAGGGCAACCGAGAGGACGATGCCCGTGTGACTTACTGGAGCCGCCCTCTGTCCAGCAGGGCGCAGAGACCAGGAGCCCTCCCTTGCAGGGCACCGGCAAGAGACGGTTGCCAGAAGCTGCAAGGAGGCCTCGGTTTTGTTTTACAAATCCGATCTTTTATTCCAGAGGTTCTTGTTCTTTGGAAACAGAGTGGTCCCTGGGGGCCACTACCTTTCCCCTTTGAGAACTTGAATTCACATTTTCTAAGTCAGAAGCGGAAAAAGGTTTGGCTTATTCCAAGACCAGAGTCTCTCTAGTAGGCACGGCAGGGAAGCACCAGGATTTACATATCAAGTGTCCTTTTTTCAGAGAAAGTTCTTACCTTTAAAAGGAAACTCCAATAAAAGGAAACATTTGCTTTTTCAGATCTTTGTTGTTGATTTGAATCATGAAAGATTCATGATTTTGTTGTTGATTTGAATCATGATCAAATGATCAATTTGAATTTTCTTAACTAGTTAAAGACATACTGTAAGTTAGGCAAGCATCCCTTTCCCTGTTGCCAAATGTGAGGTAAATTGGGCAGGCCCTCCCCTGCCTTAGGACTGAGGAATCCCGCAGGAGGGAGTCCACAGCAGGGAGAATCATGCAGCACCAGCACTTCTAGCTGGAGGCCTATCATGGCCCTTAGGGGACTGCAGAAACTGAACCCCACTGTTGCATTTATCATCTTTTCCAGACAGACTTTAAGGGCTACTGTCCAAAGAAAGGTATATGGAGCCCTTTCCACACCACCACCCAAACAGTTTCTATGACGTTTATTACTTCTAGGTGATATGCACGAAGTTCCCATTTTGGTTTTTCACTTCTGAAGTTGCAGCAAATACCCGAACCAGGTTTTTTCCTGCTATTCTAAAAACTGCCCTGATGTGCCTTTTAACTTTTGTAGCACCCACAAAATATTATCATGTCCTTTAGTGGTTTTAGTCTTTAAAAGCATTTCTTTCCATTCCAGTAGTTATGGTGGAGATTGGATCCACCCATATTCCCTTTAAGTCGCGCCCTGTGGCCTGGGCTTGTCCACATGGTGATCGGACAGCTACCACTCACTTCTCTGAGGTCACCTCACTGGAACTCCAGGTATGATCAGTAACTGAACCTTCTCAGAGGACAGAAGGGAGCTAGACTTTGGAGCTGCCCCTGGTGTGCGTCCCGCTTTCCCTCCATCAGTGGCTGGGTGACTTCAGGCGAGTACTACGCCGTATCTGGAAATCAGGATACCTGTTTCAACAGGTTGCTTTGAGGACTGAAAGGAGAAATTTACAGGGACCATGCAAAGCATACCCCCGATTCTCAACACATATTCATTTCTTTCCATCCACAAAGGTTGAGAGATAAACAGTTAACCTTGGCTGATGAAAGTAAATGGTTTATTCATCGTTTCCAGAGACACTCCAGATATATTCGTAGTATACCCAGTTCAGGTTGAGGACTTTCAAACATTAATTTACCGACCTTTAGTCAGGCTTATCTTTAGCCTTCCAAGGAAAAAACAAAACCAAACAGAAAAGTGGAAAACCCTTCCCGTTAGTTGGTAGGATTATCTTGTGTATTAAAATGAAGAATGTGAGCACAGAGTCTAAGACTTAGGAGGTGCCCAAATTTTATTGACTGAATCCGTACAGTCATGCAGTCTCTTGAAAGAAGAAAAACAGCCCGAGAACTTACAGCTTGTGGAACCTTCATGCGGTATCGCGCCAAATGCTTAGAAAGCTGACCCTAAATCCACGTCCCGACTTCTTACTAGGGTTCACACATTTTTTTTTTCCAGGCAATAAGCACTGTGACCTAAGAGGGAAGGAAGAGATCCACACCTTCCCCAAAGAAAAGGAAGATGGATCTAGTGTCAGGCTCAGTTAGACCCAATTGTGATGGCTCTCCAAAAAGGAACAATGCCACTTTTGTGATATGCTCAAGCAGAAAGCTTGGAAATTTTACAAAACAATCTCACCCCAAGAGAAACTTGGGTTCTAGCTCTCTTCCTGGAAAGAGGTGTCTTTGCAGGAAAGTTTTATACCGCTCTTATTAGCTCTTGCTGGGATCTGTACTTTGTTGTTGTTGTTTAAAAAGCATCTCAGAAACAACTAAGACCTATGGGAAACCAGGAAAGTGAATTACTCCACCGTTGGAGCATTTATACCCTGCCACTTCCGCAGCCCAGCTGCGGGGTGTTGATTATTTACTGTCTACCAGAGGGAACTCTTCGCTGGAATTGTTGGTATTCATTTATCTGCCCCGAATTCAGCCTAAGAGCCCTCACCACAGTGGATCCGAGTGGAGTGGTGAGCTTCAGCGCTGGAAGTGCTTAAAATGCAAATGTGCAAGAACTCCTGGCCAACCTCCCCATCCCCCAGGAAAGTGCTTAAATACAGCGGGGCCTGGAGGAGAATGTTAAAAAGAGGGGCTGAACTGCCTTCCTCCTTTCCACCAGGACCCTCACTCACACTGTGAGATTCAGCATGCATGACTGAGCAAGTGAGCGAGTAGGCAAGGACAGCGCTCTTTTAACTTTTCTGAACAATGGCTTCAGTTCCCTCCACCCTTCACCATTTCACATCCTCCCCACACCCACTCAAAATGGAAAGAAGCCCGTCTTTTCTTCCCCACTTCCACATCTCATGACCCATTTTTCAACAGGACCCCTGGATCTCATTGCCACCCTGGGAAATTGTGACTCTTACAGATCTACTTTTTAAAAAGTTCCATTTTGTTCAGTTTCTTTCAATTTCCATGTTGTTGACAGTTTAAAACCAAAAATTATATGAATCTCCAGTCGTCACATTTCCAGCAACAAAACATTTAGATGTCAGTAGTAAACTTTACACAGAATAAATTTGTAACCATGAGCTTACTCACACCACATAGGATGCACCCAACTCTATACCTTATTTCCTCTTAGAGTACACAAACAGCACCTCCTACTCTGGCATGTACCCAAACACACACTGCCTTCAAAATAATTCACAGATACAAGGTTTTTTGTTTTTGTTTTGTTTTTTTTTTTTTTTCAAAAACATACTTCATATTTCCTCTTTTATTATATAAATATCAGTTTAACCTTTTACTGTAAGAATATAAACGTTTTAAGAGGATCTTTGTTATTATTTATACAAATTCACAAACAGTACAATTAATTGATAAAGGTCTCTGGGTTTCTTTAACTCCATGGTCTCGCATGTTGCTGTGGAGGATTCTAAAAAAATAAACAAAAACTCCAACAAAAATATACATCCTACTCAAAAGCGATTTTTTTTTTAAAGCCACAAGTCCCAACCCCCACCAAAATAAAGAAAGCCATCTATGCCTCCATTTAGAAACAGATTTTTGTTAAAACCCACAAACTCCCATTTTATTAACAGAACAGAGATAAGATGTGAGTTTTAGTCCTCTCCCCTTCACGTTACAGCCCCGGGGGCTCCGTAGGCCAACTCTGCTCCTCTGCTTCCAACAGGAAGCCTCACCGTGTGACCTTTTTTGTGGGGACACTTGGAAGAGGGTGAGGGTAGGGCAGAATTTGCATATATAATAATCATTTTCAAGACACAATCTGCATCTCAAACAAACAAAGTTCAACTCTCATTTCTTCCACACATTTGTGCTATAAATTAAGTCAAGATTTACGAACACCGTTGGGCCCTCAAATCCCAATGGGCAAGGAAAAAAAAAATTATAGCCAGAATGTGGAAGTGGGACACACTGGATGGATGGAGTTTGGGAAGAAGCCAAAACAAAAAAGATGTACAAACCCAATGGGCATCTTTCCAGTCTAGGCACAAAAATGTTTCAGTCTCAAAATATCTCTCTTGTAGAATTCCAGGGCTTCAGAGAAAAAAGTAAACTAAAACGAGGTAGCCAGACATACATATATGTATATATATATATAATTTATATATATATAATATATAGACTATATTCAGCAGAAAAAAAAAAGGACCGTGATTTCGAATTTCTTCAAAAAATAAAAACACGAAAAAGAAAGACAAAAGGAAATGAGCGTGAACAGCAGAGTACTGTAGGAGAAGTGACGAGAAGAGCCTGGGATTAGTTACAATGTGGAAGGAAGAAGGGTGAAAAGGCCGTGGTAATTGGGTTTGCTCTTTATACACTTCAAAATAAAAACCAGATCACAGTATTCAAATGAAAGCTTAAGGAAGGCAGACATTTTCCTCAACTCCCCCAGGGTTTTAAGGACTAGGCCATCCCCACCCCCTCCCCCATTTCCAAATGTAAAGCAGTGGGGATACAGTAGCTCAAACAGTCCTCCATCCCCCTGCAGAGAGGAGTGGGTGGGTAAGTAGCTGAATCGGTCTCTCCATCGTCAGGGGAAACGAGAGGGGAGTAAGGTAGGGGTAGCAGAGGAACCCCAGATGCAATGGGAATGGGTGTGTAGTGGGCCGAGGTGCTGAAGGAGGGAGAAAATGCGCCTGAGGCTTCGTGTCACTATCCCCCTTCTCATCCGCTACAATGATCTATGTGTAAGTGTGCATGTGGGGGGGGGGGGGGCGTGGTGGTGACCGGAGGATGAACAGGGCGGTACAAGGGGAGCAGGTGCTGCTGCCCTCACCTGACCTTCTCACTGTCCGTCATCTGCCAGAGTCCCAGGTTGAGTACCTTGAGGCAGGGCAGCTGCGTGATGCGCTCCAGGCCGCGCTTGGTGATTCGGGTACAGCCGTACAGGTCTATGCCCGTGAGCTGGCTCAGGTGCTCAGCGATCAGCTCCAGGCCCTTGTCTGTGATGCGCACACACTGTCCGATGTTGAGCGTGCGCAGCCCGTGCATCTGCCGCACCATGCGGTTGATGCCATCATCGCTGATGTGGCAGGAGCAGAGGGACAGGGACTTGAGGCCGTCCAGGCCCTGGGCTATGTAAGCCAGACTCTGGTCCCCCACCTTGTCACAGAACGACACATCCAGCCCTGAGAGGCGCAGGCTGCCCATGGCCAGGTGCATGATGCCCGTGTCACTGATGTTATCGCAGGAGCGCAGGTTAAGGCTGCGTAGGCTGCCCATGTGCGACAGGTGCAGGAGGCCCGCGTCCGAGATGCCCCCGCAGAAGCTGAGGTTGAGGAGCCTCAGGCCCGTCAGCCCCCGGGAGATGTGCTTTAGAGAAAGGTCAGTGAGCTTCTGGCAGTCCTGCAGCGTGAGCTGCTCCAGGCCCAGGCAGCCCTCGGCCGCGCTGCGCGTCATGCCGGCCAGGTGCCCGATGCCCACGTCCGAGAGGTGGCGGCAGCTGCGGAGATTAAGGCTCTTGAGGCGCTGCAGGCCCCAGGCGATGAGCAGGAGGCCGGTGTTGGTGATGTTGCTGCAACCCCCCAGCTCCAGCACCTCCAGGCCCTTGAGGTACTGGGCTATGCGGCCCAGGCTGCTGTCGGTGATCTGCTTGCAGAGGCTCAGGTTGAGGGCACGCAGGGAGCCGATCTCCTGCACAAACGCGTGGCCCAGCCCGTTGTCAGTGAGGTTGTAGCAGCCGCTTAGGTTGAGGCTCTCGATGTTGGCCATGCCCTGGATCACGTAGCTGAGGCTGCGGCGGAGGCTCAGGATCTGCACACGGCGGATACCCCGGGCCTGCAGGCTGGGGAACAGCGACGGGTTGGCCCGGCGCAGGTGCAGCTTGGCCTCCACCCCCCGCCACACCGACTTGTGGTAGGCGGCGTCCCGCCAGGCCGTGCACACCTGCGCCGCGCGCCCCTTATCCCGGACGTCCAGGTAGCCGAAGATCATGGCCAGCAGCTCGGGGAACAAGCACGAGATGTGGGTCTCCATCTTCCTCCTCCCCCCTCCGCGGCGCCGGGGGGAGGAGGCGCGGGCCCCGCCGCCCCTGTCCCGAAAGGCGACAAGAGCGGTTCGCCCCGGCCGCTGCCGCCGCCGCCTCGGGCCCAACGGACGGCCCCTCCCCGCCTTCCGGCTCCGGCCGCCGCCGCCGCTCCTCCTCCTGGTCCGTCCGTCCTTCCTTCCTTCCTGCCGGCTTCTCCTCCCTTCCCTTCCCTCCCCCCGCCCCGGGCTCCGCTCGGTCCTCACATCCCGGGCGGGGAAGGCGCCCTCTCACTCACTCCCGAGCCCGGCCGGGCCGCCGCCTCCGCCGCCTCCGCCGCCTCGGGTCTAACCACGCCGCGCTCGGGCCGCGCCGCTCCGCCCGCTCCGCCGCCGCTCCCACGCCCCCTGCCGCATCCTCTGCCTCCTGCCACTGCCGCCGCCGGCCGCCGACGCAGCTGCTCCGGGCCGGCGGGCCGGCCGGGGGCCCCCGGGGGCTGCGAGCACGGGCTCCGGGCGCCGAGAAGGCTTCCTGCTGCCTTTGTCTCTCGCCCGCTTTTCAAACCTCCCAGCCCGGGCCGCCCGCACTCCGCCGCCCAGGCGGGGGGACCTGGAGGCCAATCCGGGCCACCGGGCGCACGTTCCTTCACCCCCACCCCCCGCCGTCCGCGGCCAGTTGGGAGCTGCGGGCCCGGGCACGGAGGACGCCGCGGCCCGCGCGGCCGGAGCGCGGCTCGGCGCCGGGCCCGGGGCGAGCAGGCGGGCGGCGCGTTTGGTAGAGTCCGGGCCGGACCCCTCTGCCCGACTGCTCCTTCGCGCGTCCCCTCCCGCCGCGCTCCCCCCGCGCGCGCCCGCGCAATGGTACGAGCCTGCGCTGCCGGAACTGTCGGAGCCGTTACCCTGGAAACCGAGTTCTTCCTAGTCTGGTCGCCCTGGTTTTTAACCCTGTAGGCGCCATTTGAGAGCAGCTGTCAGCCGGGCTCTTCCCCACCCTTCTCCTTTTCACCCCGTAGCCCGCTATTGAGCCATTCCCTTTCTGGGCCACGCCCCAACCCCATTCCTTCTCTTTTTCTTTGCTGCTGACGTCTGCGCAGTCTTTTCCCATAGTTTACCCCTACCGTTCCTGACCCTTCCTTTACACCCTTCTCCCTTTATTATCCTTGCAAGACCCTCCTCCCAGTGGTAGTACTCAATAATCATCACTCCAACTCTCCTTCCTTTTTTTACTGTTCCTAATGCCTCTTAACATGTCCCTGTTATCACACCCCCAGTCTTCCCCAACGGGGTTGCTTCCTACGATTCCTTTCTCTCCGGTCTTGTGCCTCAAATTACGAAGAAACTCGGCTCTATCCATGACTACCTGAGCTTGACCCTGACCCTCCCCAGCCCTCATTCTAGCACTACCCATTCCTGCTGCCTTCTAGCATCTTCTGTTTGTTTCCAGACACCGCTGTGGTACTTTATACACCAAAACTTCCCTCCACTTCCGCACTTTGTTGCTGAACTGTGGACTGCCGGGAGCGCCACGGATGCCCTCGCATCGCGCCAGCCTGCTTTGCACTTCGAAGAGAGCAGCCGTCCCTAAGCCTTGCTTTATGATCTTTTTCCTTCTCGCCAGCCTCTTGGACTAAATATAAATTGTACGGACAGTTGTACTGAGAGTATATTTGTATGTACTAACACAAAGATACTTTTTAAATAAAACACAGCGACTATTGAACATAGTCTTAGCAGACTATGTCTGCTGGTTTATAAACTGGGTTTTATGGAACCAGGGCAGTGCTCTCTTTTAGAATGTGGCTCTTGGGTCTCAAATGCCGGCACAGACGATAGGATTTCAGCGTTTCCTCCTAACTATCCCCAAACCAAGAATCTTTGGATCAGAGAAAATGACCCTCTGTACTTTTAATGAACTCATGGGTCCATACAACCTCATACAGGACAACCTGATGTATTTATCAGAAAAGGAAAATGGTTTCATTGATTCTTTGAGGGCCCAAACAAGATTTTGAATGGGTTCCCTCTTCAGTATGTGAGATTAACTTTTGGCCACCTCTCTTTGCCCGGGAGACCAATGCTAGCCCAAGTACATACAGATTCACTAATAGGCAGAAGATATTTCAGACACCCCCCCACACACACCTCTCCTGTTCCTAAATCAGGAAATGCAGAAGCAAAAATTCTTACAAGTTTGCTTCCTCGCCCATGTTACGCATGGTGTGAGGCCCATAGATTTTTATAACCTTCCTGAAATAATAGACTGTACTGTTAGTCACCTAGATGATCCAGATGCGCTGTGGCAATAAGATGTCACAATTCCGGGCCATATCCGAGCTAATACTCTTCTCCTAAAGTGTATCTGGCCTTATATTTGTCTCAGTCACTTATGCCTCAATTTTTACCTTAAACTCGACATGAAAGTCACTTTTTTGTTGTTGTGCTGAGGATGTAGATGTGTTGTATTGATGTCAAAGTATGAATCCCAAACACCTTAATCCTAGTGAACACAAAACAAAGTGCTAGACCACACATGGGGCCAAGGGAGTGTATTTGTAGACTGGGAGCATGACCTGAACAAAAGGAGCTTAGTGGTTCTCCCCTAGACAGGCCATTGTTCTCAAGTCTGAAGAGTCATTCAGAGGTGCCCAGAGCACTTTCTCTAGAAGTTGGCCACCTGATCCTAGTTCTAGCAAAACTTTTTCTTGAGGGGAACTCTGGAATTTTATTAATACAGAGCCTTTTGTTTAAGACATTCAAACATATTTCAAGGATTTTCAGTAATACAATTGTTTTCATGTTCAATAAGTAGGAAAATAAACATCAAGAGGCATCTCAGGAAATGAACATTAGTGGACAAAAAGAGGTGTGGCATCAAAGAGCCCTATGCTGTCTGGAGACATAGTGACTTTGTATGGCTTTGAGAAAACATGTCCCTTTTTGGCTCTCAGTTTCCTCATGTGACACGAGGGTGATTTGACTGGATAACCTTCAGAGGCCTTTCCAGTAGTAGCACTCTAGGAGACCATGAGCCTACATTAGTCCTGTTGTCTTCTCAACCCTGGAATTTATGGATTGTTCCTAAGGCAGGCCAGAGATTAAGAATATTTTCACATGCAGTAGCTTCTTGGGGGTTTTGGTTTAGGTTCAGATTTGGGGCACAAAAGTGGATGGAGGGTATGTATCGTGGAGCAGAGACCCTGATAATCTGAAAAAGATGGATACCATTGTAGAAAATAATCTGGATAGCTGTTCATTTTTTTCCCCCACTTTCCTGAATTTTATTAAAGAAAAAGCAATGATGATAAATCTCTAGAATGTAGTCGATTTTCTGGGCATCTTCCCTCGAAAATGTGACACTGGATTTCCGAACACATGCCAGACTGTACATGGGTCCTAATTGTACTAAGTAGGTGAGAAGCTGAAATCCTAAAGTGTTCCTCAGTCTGTGGTCTGTCTTGGGATCAGCAGTAATTGCCTGAACAGCTACTACGTACGGCTTCATGAATTTTTGTCTGTAGCTCTCCGAGCTCTTCTATGTGCAGCAACCACAGAATTTGAGCAGCTTCATTAAGAACCACATCTCCTGTGTCAAAACCAAGAGTTGTTTGCCTAAAGTAACAGGCAAGCCCTCTTTTGTTTGATTTGCTGTAGCAGCTGCATCCTGGACCAAAATGCAAATTGCCTTAAGCATTACCAGGTAGTCATCCTGACGCTGAATCTGAAGAAGGTTAACCAAAGCCATTACACGAGCCTTAAAAATCAGGATTATTTACATCCAGATGGATCATTGCTGGCACTTTTTGTATTATCATGTCCCAAGTCCTTGTATTTTTCAGCATTATCTCCAGACTCAAGTCCTACAGCTAAACCAAGAAGCCAGTCAATTGTTTCTTGCCCATCTTGAATCCTGAAAGGACAGTTAACATCTCTAAGATACTTTTCAAAGAACTTGGGCTAGTCACTACTGTGGATGTTTCTTACATTACCTCCGCCTTCAATCTTGTAGTGTCTGATTTTCTGGTCTTTAAGCCAAACAATAAAGTTTCTAAATTCTGGTTCATCTTTGCAGTTGAAGCCAGCAGGGTTAGGGTAGTCGAGGGCCATCAGCCTGCCTCGGAACATGGTCCCTCCTTCTTGCGTTAGTTCCCTGGGCTTCTCTGGGGAGAGGGGAGGCAAGGAGGGGCGGGCAGCTCAAGTACTGGCAGCGCTGGATGGCTGTTCATATTTTAAGGACTTGTTGAGATCTTTTTTTTTTTTTAAAGATTTTATTTATTTATTTGAGAGAGAGAGAGAAACAGCATGAGAGGGGATAGGGTCAGAGGGAGAAGCAGGCTCCCTGCTGAGCCGGGAGCCCGATGTGGGACTCGATCCCAGGACTCTGGGATCATGACCTGAGCCGAAGGCAGTCGCTTAACCGACTGAGCCACCCAGATGCCCAGGACTTGTTGAGATCTTTCAACAAGTTGCAACCAGAAAGAAGTTTTTTCTGAATGTGCTTCTGTACAGAAGCAGAAATGACAGCCTTGTATAGGAAGTCTCTCCAAAACTTTACCAAGATATTTTTAAGGAACTAGATTTTCAGATAGGGTGTGTTTTTCACCTGGGTGAGGCCTGGGAAAACTGAGAGGCCCAACCCAAATATCAAGCTTACTTAAGGGTGTGTATACTTCCTCATTCAGAGAGGGAAGATCTGGCAGGAAAGTTCAGAAGAGATCTGTAGCTTTTTAAACTCATTCAAAAAAATGTAGATCCCAAACTGGTCGCCCAGAATATAGCTGGTAGGTATTATTAGATCAAAGGAGTTAAAATATTTTGTGTGTGTTTTATTTATTTTTTTAAAGATTTATTTATTTATTTGAAAGAGAGTGTGTGAGACGGGGGCGGGCGGGGGGTGCAGGGCGCTGCACAGAGGAAGAGGGAGAGAAGCAGACTCTCCGTGAGTGGTGAGCCCGACTTGGGGCTTGATCACAGGGCCCCGAGATCATGACCTGAGCTGAAATCAAGTCAGTCCTTTATCCAACTGAGCCACCCTAGCGCCCCTTGTGTGTGTTTTATATTAACTCTAAAGTATCCATGGCACAATGTCCATTACATAGCGGGCACCCTGTAAATGTTGTTGAGCTGAAATGATTGAGAGCAGTAATAACATAATATCTTTATGAAAGACTTCAGGCATATCAAAACTTCTCCAAGAGTCTGGACAACCAATAGAAATGGATATCTGAGATTTATAAAATGGTCCCTTTCCAACTACTTTCTAACTTCAAGATTTCTTGACAGCAACATTCTTTTCATTTCTAGTATTACTAGACAAGAGAATACCTTGGGGCACCTCTTCTTTGTTAGAGAATATTAAAGATAATAGAGGGCGAGGACTTGATTCACTGATTGCAAATAAAAGATTTAAGCAGCAGCAAAGGAACAAATAGCCTGGTTTTATTTTTTTATTTTATTTTTTTTAAGATTTTATTTATTTATTTGACAGAGAGAGCACAAGTAGGCAGAGCGGCAGACAGAGGGAGAGGGAGAAGCAGGCTCTCTGCGGAGCAGGGAGCTGGACGCGGGGCTCGATCCCAGAATCCTGGGATCATGACCTGAGCCAAAGGCAGACGCTTAACGACCGAGCCACCCAGGCGCCCCAAATAGCCTGATTTTAAAATGGGCAAAGGACTTGAATAGACATTTCTCCAAAGAAGATATACAAATGGGCAATGAGCATATGAAAAGATGCTAAACACCAGTAATGGTTAGGGAAATGCAAATTAAAAGCACAATAAGATAGTACCTCACACCTATGAGGATAGCTGCTATTAATAAAACAGAAAATAAACAAGTGTTGATGACAACGTAGAGAAATTGGAACCCTGACATACTGTTGGTGGGAATGTAGGATGAGCCCCTGTGGAAAACAGTATGATGGGTCTTCAAAAACTTAAAAATAGAACTACCATAGGTAT